CCGATGGTCTGGGACAGGTTGTGCCTCCCAGAGGTTGCTCGTCGCCGCGGCTGGATCCGTCTCGGAGGTATGGCAAGAAACACATACGAACACACTGTCTGGCGATCGGGGCCTCGCGCTCGGCCACGAGGGGGCGAGAGCCCCCAGGCACCCAGAGAATGCTCACAGCCGGCCCCCTTCAGAAGATGGGACAGGAATCCAAGCAGGATCGACCGTGCAATGCGCACACCCGGGCATGGGCAGCGAGGGTGCAGGGGGAAGCAGGCCAGAATGGCCGGGAATGGGGTGCACAGTGTGGGGGGGGATGCGCTGTTCGAGGGACGGCGGGGCGGATGGACCCAGACCTGCGACGTCGTGTGTTCTGTTGTGTGGGCGAGCTCCCCTTTGAGATTGACATGCGGAGGCCTGTCCCGGGACCCGAGATCCGCCACTGTGCCGTAGGCTCTGAATGGGGCGCGTCTCTCAGAGTTCTGTGTGCGCACAGGCTGACAACCTTCGCTGGGAGGGCCAAGCCCCGAACTGCCGGGATATCAGGGACTTCCCGCGTGCCTCTCGGGGCTTGTCGCAAGGCTTCTCCCAGGCCCAGAAAGCCCCAAAACGGCGAAAGAGAGCCCCAAGACGGTCCAAGAGGGCCCCCACGCGGCCCAAGAGCGTCCGAAGGCGGCCCAAGACGGCTTCGAGACGGCCTGCGAGAGTCCAAAGGGGGCCTCAGGCAGCGTCTTCGCATGTTCAGGCTTCCGATTCTCCAAATCGGCCCCAAATGCGCCCAAGATCGCCCCAAGACAACCCAATAAGTCCCCAAGAAGGCCCCAAGAGGATCCCAAGACAGCTCAGGATGCCCCCAAGACGACCCAAGAGCCTCCAAAACCGCCCCAAGAGGAGAGACCCCACATATTGTCCTCAACGCGTTCAAACTCAACATGCCCCCCAAAGCCCCCCCAGAAACGCCAACAAGCCCCAAGAGGCCGCGACGAGGTGGACGGCACAGTCTTGCTCAACGGTCAGTAAGAGAGAGAGAGAGAGAGAACCAACAAAAAGAGAAGACAAAGAGGAAGACTGAGTGGCAGAAGGAACGAAAGATATGATCTCAGTGGGGGGGAGGCCGACCATACATACATATACATATACATATATACACATATGTATATATGCATGAACAAACTACAAGTCAGAATGAGGGGGTCGAACGGTCATTCACTGTGCCTTGGTGCGTAGCTGAAGTGTGAGTCCGCGATGCGGGTAGTAGTAGTAGTAGTAGTAGTAGTAGTAGTAGTAGTAGTAGTAGTAGTAGTAGTAGTAGTAGTAGTAGTAGTAGTAGTAGTAGTGGTAGTTGTAGTAGTAGTAATTGGTGGTGGTGTTGCTGTTGGTGTTGTTGTGTTTGTGTGTTTGTTTGTTTGTGGTTGTTGTTGTTTGTGTGTGTGTTTTTGTCTGTTGCTGTTTCTGTTGTTATTGAATACTCATCTAGAGAATACGTATTGCTGATCTCCGGAAACGGTTCCGCGCGCTCTCGCCTCGACGCAGGCTACATTTTCTTTACAAGCGAGACTCCCGCGCGAGCGTTGGCTTGAGTATAAATGTGCCCCTGGAGGCCCAGCTACGACGACAACGGCTCCCGCTCGATACTTCTTCACAGTTTACCCCGAGACACCCCAGCCAGAGAGACCCCCAAACTCAGGAACGGCGCTCTCGCTGGAGACTTCCTCGCAAATCAATCAAGTTGGCGGAGGCCCAGCCACGGCGACAAAGGCTCCTGCTCGATACTACTTCACGATTTACTCCGGGAGCTCCTGGCCAGGTAGGCCATCGCGACACAGGAACGACACTCTCGCTCGAGACTTTCTTGCGATTTAATCAATTAGGTGGAGGGCCCAACTACGACAACAATGCCTGCCGCTCGATACTTCCTCAAGATGTATTCGCAGAGGCCCGTACCAAATGCTCCCGAACTCAGGAGTGGCGCTCTCGCTCGAGAGTTTCTAGTATTTCAAGCAAGTTGGAGGAGGCCCAGACACGGCGACAAGGGTTCCCGTTCGATATTTCTCTATCTGTATTCCGAGGGCCAGAGAGGCCTCCGAACTCAGGAACGGCGCGCTCGCTAGAGAGTTCCTCGCATACCATTCAGCGGCCGACAAGGAAGAGATTCCCCTCGAGAAGGGGTACGTTCGAAGATGAAGTGGGCGGATATCTAGGGTTGGGATATACAGAATGCAAGACGCGCGTGCCAGTAAGAACGAACAATATGAAAATGATTGTTGATGTTGTTGTTGGTGTTATTGCGTTTGTTGTTACTGTTGTTCGGCATCGTCCCCCCCACGACCCTGCCCGCGACCCATCCGCGACCCACCCCGCGACCCTGCCCGCGACCCGCCCGCGACCCACCCGTAACCCACCCCCCACCGCGACCCACCCGCGGCGCCCCACCCCGCAACCTACCCGCGACCCACCCGCGACCCACCCCGCGACTCACCCGCGACCCCCCCGCGACCCACCCGGGACCCAC